ACACTTAAATTTTCCAATTCTGTGTGGGAGATAGCAGTCTTGTTTCCAACTTATCAAATTGAATGCAACTATTATTTTAATAGATACCATGAAGACAGTAATTGACCACTGAGTTATTATATCATGCTATAAGAAATCATCTGTATGTGTTAATTTATAGGCTATTGGTGAGCAAAATGAAACCTTGCTGATTTTAAAGCAGTATTTGAAAGAAGGATGGATGTCTTATTGCAGATAAATCGTTTGCTGGAAATTCTGCTAAGGAGTGACTTGAATTTGGGCAACAGATATGAGACATTCAGAGATGTGAATGACAAGACTAAGAGAACATTACTACACTATGCTGCAGAACTTGGATTTTTACAAGTTGCCAAAACACTTGTGAAGCAATGTCCATCATTGCTCTCTCTGGAGACAAAACGACCTAGGACAACAAGAGCCATGTTACCAGTTGAGGTGGCTTTACTGGTAGAGAAAGATGAGGTAGCAGCATATCTCATAAGAACGATGTGGCATGAAAGGTACAGAGAAAATGGTACTAGCCAGAAGTCTAACTTTGAATGAGGCTTCATGATTTGGAAAAATGATGGAGGGCTTAAATTGGAAACTTTTTTTCACAATTATACTTATAAAGTAAAATTATTGTTTTATCTAAGATGTTAGCCTGTATTTTTAACTTTAAATGTCAATTTAATAATTTGATTGAAGTTATTGATAGCAATAGCCTTGACTTATACAGTGGCTAATCATGTAAGTTATATACACATACACCCTCAAACCCTGGCTAACTCACACCTTACATTAAAACAAAGCAATTTTTGTTTCTCTTCAGATCATCCTTTATATATTTTTGGATTCAATAACTCAAACCAGTGCGTATTGCAGTCCAAAACATACATAGTGGATGTATTAGAATGAGATGAAAATAATCTGTTCTGTTTGAAACCTGACCCAACTTTTTTGGCAGATCTCAGAACATAATGCAGATGATGGTCACAATGCACTAGACAATCTATTTACATTTAATCCTAGAGTCCAAAGCCTATTTTCCTGGAGACCAGATGACATGACAAAGCCTCCTCAACCATCTTTCTTCAGTTTCAAGTCTCTTATTGAAAATCCCAAAATGAAGGTGGGAAATTTATAGTTTTTCATTAGCATGCAACATCTTACTGATAGGAAACATGAATAAGAGTACTGCCCTCTTGAAAAACTCTGGTAGAGTATTATATAGGTGTTAGAAAAGAATAGTCAATATCTTATGGGTGCACAAATAACCTACTCTAACAAACCTGGGCCAGTACCTTATAGGCATCATGTACAGGTTTGCTTATGTAAGGAAGACCTTGGTGCATGTTTGGAAAGTTTTCCT